AGGATACAAAACACAAACACAAACACAAACTTGAAAGATGAGTATCTTTATTAAAACTGACTGATGAGTCAGAGCCCATGGGCACATGTGGCATTCAAATGATCTGGCTGGTGCACTTGCAGGAGGCGGGACACCAAGAGGCCACATCCTTGTTGCTGCAGCCCCACTGCTGCTTCAGGTCAGCACAGTTGTTGTACTTGTCAGCGTAGGGACAGGGGTTGGCTGGGAGAGAGATAGAAAAAGAAAAAATTAATGGATGCATAAAGGACTGCATGGAAATGATCTGTAGTATTTTGTTTGACCTTTCTTTTCCATTTTTTGTCTAGTAAATCTCACAAAGGGATTGCTGAAGTAAAATATATCCCCACGAAACAGGAAGTAGCCATGACTGACTTTTCTATACTACTTAGCTGCCGTGCTAATAAAGATCAGGAATGCAATGATTATGAATGATTTAAAAAAAAAAGAAAAAAAGTAACTGCCATTTATTTCTTCTGTTGATACTTAAGTGTTTTGTTTCCGTCTGTGCTCAGAGAAACTTTGCTGGCTCCACTCACTGAGGTTTGACTCATCAACTTATAACTTGTATGTATTTTCAATTATTTACTTTTGCCTTTTGACTTGATTTGGTGTCATTTTATTGACACAAAAAATAATAATAATTTATTATTCCATTTATTGGCCTCTGAAGTGCATTAATAGAATAATTCCTGTGTATTCTGTGACTCCAATCTACCACTGTGATTCACGAGAATAGATGAGAAGATTTTTTATCTTTCAGCTCGGTATTTGCCACTTACTGCACAGTTTGTTGTCGCAGGCGTTGGGGCAGTCACCGCAGGAGGGTCCTGCTTTGTAGGGGCGAGCATACTGGTAGTTTCCACTGTAATGTAGGCCAGACCACCAAATATTAAACTTGACAGCATGAAGACTCACACTGGAAATCAGCCCAAACATGTCAGGGATGTGATCTGAGACAGCAGAGCTTTGAATGACTATTTAATGACCACTCAGGAAGGCATATGAGGAAATTAGATGCAAATTGCCCATTTGTTTCATTGCATTACAGCTCTATTGTTGCATCCACTTTATTAGTCATCTTTTTTTGCAAACTGCTACTAATGATCTTTTCAACATTACTTGTATTGGAACAGAACTTGGAGAAGGCTATCATGGTATAAAATGTACAAAAACCATGACACTTTTATAAGAAATCGAAAAGTAGATTCTTCCATTCCTTATTTTCCTTTTAACTCTCTAAATTTAGTATTACATAACAGGACTAAATGTATCAGATGCCCTGCATTCATTTAACTCAATGTACATATAAATAATCATGTACATTTAAAGTGACAAAACGTGCTATACTTACAATTTTCATTAACAAGAGAGACATACGTAGATACTGTATATTGCAAAATATTTTTTACTTACGGTGGGCAGTAGTGGCAGACGTAGAAATACTTGTATGCAGAGTTGGGGCAGTAGGCCATGGCACAGCCAATCTGGTTGGACCTGTACCAAACAAGCTGAGAGACAAAATACAAAATCACAAGGAGCTCGGTGCATAAATCCACAGTCACTACTGTTTTTAATGTTTGGGCTAATTCGTCCCCTTTTAACTCATTCTAGTTTTTAAATAGACTGTATTTTCCAGCAGGTGATGGTAAATGTGTATGTGAATAAGTCAGTATTAACTGGTGACAAACTGAATGTATCTGCACCTGTGTGTAATGTCCAATTACTCCTCCGTTGAGAGCTCCCACTCCGTAGCGCCAGTCCTTCACCTCGTCGTACCAGGACTGGATAGCGTTGCTCCAGGTGTTCTTGTAGCTGGACATGTACAGATTCTCTCCACAACCGCTACCTGCAGTCAAAAAAAGAGGAGTAAAAGAGACACTTCAGTCCTCACTATTATGGGCTCAATCGTCACCACTGCCCACTGTCTTTCTGAAAACCAGGGTCAAATCAATAACCACTCTTCCATTTATCACTCCTTCCACTCTGAATTTATTCAGGTCTTTGTAATATATATTTTTTTTTTTGAGTTAGTGGTGATAAAGTACAGTGGTTTGTATGTTCACTCTATACTCCCTCTTTATTAAATATAATGTCATGTAATTCCTTTTCATTCATTGTTGGTTGTAGTGTGCAGGGATGTTTCTAATGTTTTGCCCCATTTACAAACACGAGGTGGGAAGAATATTAGAAACACATTTCAGTATAATTCAGTCCAGTACAGCACCAACACTAACTATGACCTTAGGTTTTATAGGTGTACCTAATAAAGTCTGCTTGTACTTGATTCAGTCAAGGTAGATTAGAGGAAACACACAATAAACTACCATGTGAAAATAGTCTGCACATTTCATTTATTCACTAAGGCCTGATGTGTGGCTGAGTTTTTCTCATATCTAAAATACTTTGGATGTGGTGGACACAGTGCCTTAAATAGCTGCTAACTCAGAGTGATTTAATTAGCCTGGCCTTAGCCTGTGACATTTCAATGTCACATGATGCTGATTCACATGATTTTATGCTCTCACTACACTTAATAAGAATTTACTGCTCAAAAGAAATACTGATTCCTTGTTAATTTCTCACATAACATTGTAAAACCTTTTGAATAACACACTATTTCTGGCTCTCTACGTGCATATTGAAGAGACAGTGAGGCTGACTTTTTAAAAGGTACAGTATTTTTTTTTTTTTTTTAAAGAGAGAGAGAGGTGTTATCATGAACTTACTCCTGATCTCTCTGGAGCTGGCAGGGCTGTGCTTCATGGAGCAGGTGTTGGCCCATCTCTGAGCGGTGGCTGCAGCCTCCTCGTTCCAGCTCTGTGGGGAGCAGAGGAGAAATCGGCACATGTAGACCACCATAGTATGTACACCATGTAATCTCAAAGTGCTTTGTGCTTATCTGTAAGAGGAGTTTATTCTGCGCTGATATGCTGCATGAGGGAGCATGTGAAATATCAAATCCAGCACTAATACGTTAGATCAAATGTTGTCACTGATGTCCAGTGAAGCACATTATGCTTTTGAAATTTTAAAATAATAATAATGCACTTAATATTTTTTACCATTTTCAGCATGTTGCTAGCAGTAGGCTGAACTCCTCTCCTAAGAGCATTATGTTTGTTCACAATCTCACTCTGGTCTGAGGAGGAGGCCAGGATGGTGCCTAAATGAACACAAGTAAAGCATAAAAAAAACAAGATGGAGATCATTTTCAGAAACGATAAAAGCTGCTAATACTAAATCTTAGTGAAGATTGGTGTATGAAGAACAATTACAAACACTCACCCTCCTTTGCATATGATTTTCAGAGATGAGAGAGAAAATAGAGGTTAATCTATTGCACATCAAAAATACACATCAGTTGAGAAAAAGCTAATTTTAAAATATCAAAAGAATATACCTTATCATTTGCTCCACAATTAAACTGCTCATTGGACATGTCTTTTCACTTACCACATCCTCTGCCAAGGTGCCAGGCACCTGAAGAGCAGCAAAGAGGCCAAAGGCGCACAGGAAGCTGAAAGTGTACATAGTCATGTTCAAATTCAGGACTGTCCTCCTAGAGCCAGGTGTGATTTATATAGTCTGGACCAAAGACAGGTGAAACTGAACACACAAACTCAAGGGCATACTAATTTTCAAACAGCAGCCAAACTGAAGATAACAGTTTATCAACATGGCAACTTTGAGAAATCCTTAAATGTACATTTATTGCTCTCAAGGTTATCAGGAGAAGTGTGTAATGTCAAAAAGAACCTGGTATCTAAGTTATACTGTGATAATATCAAATATAAATGACATCAAAAAGTTAAACTAACAGAGCTCTGTGTCCTTGATGGCTGATGGAGATCTTTTTGACAGGGCAGGTCTGCATGGTTGGGTTGAGTCGAGTGTATGATGTTCCACGAAAGCTAGCAAAGAAGCTAATGATCATAAAAGTGTTATAATCCTGATGTCAACTTTAAAATTCAACTTCATCTGTCTTGCTTTTTCATTTTTTGTTTTAATGTGTGTACTCAAGACTATTGTCCTCAAGGGGAAATTTGCTTAGCAGTCAGGTGACACAGAGCATGCACAGATTTTAACTTAAAACATAATAAAATACATTAAACATATAATAAAAAATATGTAAACATTTGCTAAAAACCACACACAAGCATAGATCACATATACAGTGTATGTGGAGTGATGATCTACAATGATCAGCCACAACATTAAAACTAGTTACCGGTTTTAATGTTGTGGCTGATTGTTGTATACTGAAACACAAAACGACCACAAAGAGATGCAACAGTACCAAAGAGACACAAAGTTACCACAAAAGGACACTAAAAACATCACAAAGAGACACAAAACTAACACAAAGACATGCAAATTGACCATAAATGAGCACAAAACAATCTATAACAGACACAAAATAACCAAAGAGAGACACAAAACGACCACAAAGAGATGCAAAAAGACTACAAAAAGACACAAAACATCTAAAAAGATATGCTTCAGCATTGAATCAGTGTCAGCCATGATTGAAAATATGGCATGTATTCAACATTGAACATCATGATAGAATATATACAATATTATTATATATAAAACAATGCATATTTTCAGAATACTATATGCATTCAGACAAAAAGCAAGCTAATTTGTGAATTGTGTATTTTTAATATGTTGCTACCACCCCTGTGTTTGCAACTGTCCCCAGGGTTACAACATCTGAGTTCTTCTATTCAAATAAAAATTGTAAATGATATGTCATATAATTTTTTAATGATATGGGTAATACGTATAATATATAAAAGTTTAGTTAATTTGGTACAAATAGTCTTTGAGCAACTGAGAGAAATGCAATACTGTTGGCACTATTGATTGATTAATACAACAGATTTAGTGCAGTGACTACAGTATGTTGGTCTGCTCCCCTCCTGCGATGACAACTTGTAGGTACAACCTCTACTGCGCATGCGCAGAGCCGTTAGTCGCCTGTATTTGTTCCCAGACATCATCATCATCATCACAGGTTGAACTGAGCATCTTCTCCCACAAAGAGGCATCTCTCTCTGTCTTGTTATTTATTTATTTACTTGTGCTCTGTTTCTTTTTCTTTCCTCGCTGCTGCCGCTGCTGCTGCGGTGTCAAACAACAGCACGGAGGGAGTAGAAGCCATAAGATGAAGAAACGCTATGTGGACGCGAGCAGGCTACGGAAAATGAAAAAACTGAAAATAACGGAGAAGCTGTCTGAGAGGTAGCTAGCGCCGCGAGCCGCGTAGCCTGCCTGGCGGAGGCTGCTTTTGTTGTGGTCTTTGTGTGTGAAATTTCATCCCGCTCACCTGTCTGCCTCACATCCCATCGCTTCATCCCTGTCTGCCGTTTTTTTTTTTTATATCAACCACTCTGGGGGTTTTCATAGGCGTCAACACAGCTGAATTGAAGAGACGGGAGCGTAGAAATGTTTGTGCCGAGTTACTTCAGCCTACATTGTTTACAGAAAAACAGAAATAAGCAGCTGTGTGCAAGTTAACATCGGCCTGCTTCCCCTCCAGTCACTGTCTCCTGTGTCTTCTGTACGAATCATACGCACGATTAATACATAATGCGAGATATTAACAACTGTATTTTCATACCAGACTAAAGGAAAGCGGCTAATTTTGCACATAAAAGCATAATTTGAAAGCGTCTAGACAGAGTCGAGACAAGAAAAGACTCAGGAGGAAGAAACCACTTGTTTTAATGGTGCATTGTTTCACATAAAAGAAAAAGAGAGACCAAAAAAAATCAAAGCTATATCATTTATTTGGAAAATAAATGCAAACATGTCTTATTTGAATACATTTTACTTGAATTTGCAAGAGGTCAAATATAAAAAATTTTGCTCCTTTTGTTGTGAAATAGCTTGCCTGTTTGAAAGCTACTGTAAAAATGCCTTTTACATTATAAGGCAAATTTGAACTTGTATCAGGAATTTAAGATGCTGTTTTCCTTCCTTTCTCTTAAATATGAAGTATTGCTTTTTGTTGTTGTGGAATAACTTTTAATGTTTTGCAGTTACATTAAAAATCAATTTGTGGAGGAATAATTTTAATATTTTGCTGTTTAAAATACCAGTGGGATAAGTTAAAATGCCCTTTTGATGACATTATAAGGCGAATTTGAACTTGTAATAGGGTTTTTAAGATGCCATGGTGCTTCCTCTCTGTCCCACCTCATTCTGTCAGATTAAATACTTTTATCAATAATAAAATAATTGTGAATTAACTTAAGTATTTGCTAGCTATAATAAAAATGCCTGTAAGAAAGATTCAAAATGAAAACCCCTCTATCATTATTGTCAAAAGGAATATTTGAGCTTGGATGTGTCATAGGATGCTGTGGTGCTCCCTCTCTCCCCCAGATGAAATATTGCCATGGTTACCAAACAAAGAAGGGGCGATGTGATAGCAGCCTATGGACGAGCAGAACAAAGGAGGAAACCACAGCTCCTGTTTGGCTCGTGATCGCCTAATAAAACGAATGAGGGAACAGTCATTGTTCTTTACTGCCGCTACTGACTACATTTTTAAGATGCAGCTGGTCAATTAGGGTTTAGCACTGTGTATCCGATCTGTAGTGTTTTATTGGCTTATGTGTGTGTTTAAAGCCTTGGCTTAAGAGGCTTTCGTGTGTCAGTAATGTCTTTATTTACTCCAATCAGAGGCTAGACTACACATTTGTTTCACATCTGTCCAAACTGAATTGCTGATATTTGACATTTGAAAGCCACATTAATGGACTTTTTGTAATTTCTCTTTGTTTTTCTCCAGTGCGTACACCTTCCTGAAGTTTATGATGATGTGGACACTGGTGTTGCTGGCAGATTTCATCCTTGAATTCAGACTGGAGTACCTGTGGCCATGCTGGCTCTTCTTCGGGAGTGTATACACCACTTTCCACTGCCACGGGCTGGTGAGAGTCCCCACTGTGCGATTTTATATTGTGTGCAGTACGCCAGATGAGGATCATTTCCAGTGCATTTAACTAAATTAATGTTTTCTTTTGTTTGCAGGTTATTTGTATTGTTTTTGTTTGTGCTGCCTTCACTCTTGATATCTTTTGTTTGATTTTTGTTCCTTTGCACTGGCTGTTCTTTGTGGCGAGCACCTATGTATTATTCAATTACATATGGCACACAGGTGAGTATGTGGATTGTTTGTTTTGTGTTTTTGTTTATTTTTTTCCCCACATCTATGACAGAATATGTTTAACCTTACCGCTCATAAGAATGAAGTTTTGCTTGTAATGGATACGCTTCATTTTAGTGAGCTACTACAAATGTAATTTAATCAGCAAAGATTTCTTTGAATAAATATTACAGTAGACTCTTTCTCCCTCTGTTCACGTCTGATTATTTCACATTTCTTTCGCAGAGAAGGGCATCTGTATATCGACAGTTACCCTGTGGATTCTGCTTGTCTACACAGAGGCTTCACTTCGACTCAAAGACCTTAAAACTTCTCATGCCAACCTCTCTCATCTTTTTGCTGCACACTGGTAATGTTGATGTGTTCAAAATCACCCAGTATCCCTTTAGCAAGAGGAAAACTAATTCTCTAGATTAAGAATTCTTGCAGGGAAATAAATTGAACTGTCATAAAAAGCATTTGTATTAAACTTTTATGAATCCCCTTGTGAAATCATGAATCAACCATCAAGATGTTTGTGTACCATAGATTACAAGAGTAAATTCACTTTTATGCTTCTAGCTAAAGACCAATCAAGTATGATTTGAAATATTTAGAATATGCATATATTTATTAATAGAGTAACCATTAATAATAGAAATATGTCAGCCAAGATGCTTGTATCTTTATAATGTGGCACTCATATCCTAACCCTCTCTCTCTTTCCGTCTGTGTTCACATTCAGTATTGGATATCCTGTAGTATATTTGGGGTTTGATGCCACCTGCTACTTCACCAACATCTTTAAGCTGCGCATACAGAAAGCTGTGCAGAGTGAGAACGACTTCCACATGCACCTCCTGCAGCACTCGCTCCCTCCAGGCCTGCAGGTTTTCCCCAAGACTGGCACAGATGGCAGCAGCAGTAAGTCTGTGCATCTGCGCCACCCATTCATTTACACTTCAACCACCACGCTCACTGTTTCTCATTTCTTTTCATCTCAGTAACACCATGAAGGAATTTCTTCAGGTTTGGCACAAATGTTCACTTAGACTCAAAGATGAACTGGTGAGAATATGGTGGTTGAAGGTCAAGATAACTGTGACCTCAAAAATACGTTTCTGGCCAAATAACTCAAGAATTCATATGCTAATTATGAGAAAATAAATTTAATACATTTTATGAAAGTCCTTCAAAGTCTTGACTGGACACACATGGATGTAAACTGCAACTGGACTGGGTGGCTGATGAATGATATTGATATGAAAATCGATATTACTTTAGTGCATCAATGACATCCTCTAGATTTTCTATAGCTCTGAAAATATAACTATACATCACCCATTAGTATACAAGTTAATTTGCAAACTCTTCATACAACAAGACCAAAGAGGATCCCTGCAGAGATTTAGAGAATATTTAAAGGGGAAGGAATCATGTTGAATAAGGGAATTCACTAGTGTTTTGGGGGGTTTGTCCAGATGAAAACGATGACAGCAGAGCTGAAGTGAAAGCAAATACACAACAGTTTCCTATGAGGGGGGACTGCTGCTCATTTTCATACTTTCTTATACATTGTTCTTTGGTATAAATACTGCAGCAAAATCTCTAAAACACCTAAATGCAACAAACTGAACTCCCTCTACCGTTGCTCATACAAAAGGCAGCAGAGTGTAAATGTTGTTCAACCTATTGTGTTGTACATTTTCCAATCCCAGGCGCAGAATTCAGTTTAGATCTTTACTGTTCTGTAAGACAATAATTTTTGCAGCATAAAAACACAACAACATAAACACAATAAAAACACAATAAGATTATTGAAGAAGAGAAGAAAAGGGCTGGTACTAGACATGCCATTCAATGATGGCATTAACCTTTTTTTTTTGTTTGTTTCTGTCTGTTTTTGCAGACTCGAAATGGAAGATAAAGCCAGAGTCAAGTCAGTATCAGTGTCAGAACGGTGCTGTAGTGACCCATGACGAGGTACACACTGTGGATTGCCTCCAGATCTGCAGCGAGGAGAGAGCAACAGAGAAGGGAACACAGGAGGTGAAGTCAACTGAATCAAACCGACGGCCATCATCATCATCCAAACACAGTGTCAGTGAGTCCAGAGATTTGCTCCACAGTGGGGCAGGAGGACCAGAATCCTCTACAACCCCAGATAATCTACCTCAAGAGGAGCAGGGAAGCAAAGCCACACGGGCAGCTAAAAGCTCCTCGCCGAAAGCTCGCAGGGGCAGCACAAACACGCCTTCACCACCTGCAGCGAGGACTGAGAAGAAACAGAGATCCAGCTCAAAAACAGTCAGCCCCAACCGGGATGTGACAGACAAGAATACCACAGCAGCTCAGAATTACCACGCCGAACAGATGAGCAAGTAAGTCACAAATAATTCAGTTCAGCTGAGTTTGAAATTAGTCATGCGATGTTGAAATCGGTGCCAAAAAAAATCACATCTTTCTTTTCTATATTTCAGGCTGGAGCAGGAGCTGAGGAGGCTGAAGGGTGAGCTGCAGGCGACCAGGCAGAGCGAGCAGGAGCTTCGAAGTCACGTCTGCAACTTAACAAACAGCGAGAGGAGCCTGAGACCAGAGGTTTCCCTGCTCAGACAGTCCAACATGCTGCTCCAGAGCAAGTGAGTGATGCACCGAACCCACAGGGGAAAGCTTGTCTCTGGCTCCTTCTGTGGGCTGTTTGACACGTTGCATCAGTCTATAAATGAAAACTAAGACAGGGATGTATGCAAGCAGAAATGGGGCTAGGATTAGCAGGAGGCATGCAGACAGCATTTTGGGTTCACAGTTACTTGACAGATTTTTTTATCCTCTACCAGAGCAGGGCACCAATTAATATCACATCATATTTCATATTCAACTATTGTGGCTTAAAGTTGTCGTTCTTAATTCTCAAACTACCTGAATATTACTGAAATCTAAAATCTTGTCTGGTAATACACTTTTTTGAATAATTTATTTGAATATTTCGGTGTACTGTAATGAACATGGATTACAGTTTTGATTATGTTATTCTGAATACAATTATTTTAACTAACCATGGTAATTGTTTCATAGTTATCACAATATTAACACTCACTCTCACCAATTTTCTTTGGCTGTGCATTTTTTTAGCACAAACGGCGAATACAAGGCGTTGTTTTCCTGAGTTAAGACATTTTCTTTAAGCATATGTTATGTTTCTCTTATTGACACAGTTTTATCTTTAAAAAAAAAGAAAAAAGAATACACTAAGTTGCAAAAATCATGCTGAAAAAAATTGACTTTATAATTTAGTCCATCCAATTACAGATGAACTCTCGACACATTTCCTACATCAAAGCCACATCCACCAGCCAGAGGCTTTAAATCTTTTTGAGATGAGCATGTTATGCACAGTTTGGATCAGCGCCACCAGTTCCGATAAGACATGCTCCAGTTTTTAAAGCAAGGTGCTTTCCAGTGATTCAGCAACTACAAGGATGATGAGAGACACATTTAACTCCTCATGTCTATTTTCAAGATGTGCTGAAGTTAATCTCAAACAAGTCTATTTGGATGTGGTGGTAACCCACTTATTTCTTTATTTAATGCTGGTAGTTTTGACCTTATTTAAAGTGACGTTAATGTTTTTCCTTCAGGATTCTGTGTTTGACTAAAACCAAGCAGCGTGACAAACAGACCAGTGTGATGCTGGAGAAGAAGACCAGAGCAGAGACGGAGGCCAGACTCTCTGCTGAGAAACAGTTGGCTGAACTTCTGGCTCAGAAACTGGAGGAGGCAGCCAGCACAGCAAGGAGCCTATCAAACAGGTAAATCACACCTTTAAATTCCCTGCTAGTGAAGTGGCTTAGTGCATGAAAAGTAAAGCTGGATCTGCATCTTATTTGCTACTGAATAAAAATTAAATTCTGCTGTGACTGTATAGCCAAACATTTGAAGAAATGTTCAAATTATGCTCAATTTGCTTTCTTGCAAAGAGTTAGACATGGAGATTTGTACCACATTGATGTCTGTGTGTTTGATATGTAGCTACAGCTGGCAGCTGGTTAGCTTAGCTTAGCATAAAGACTGGAAACGGGGAAACAGTTGGCCTGGTTCTGCCTGGAGACACTTTGGTTTTTGTTTGATTTAAACAAACAAGATGTTAATTTGTGAGCTTTAGAGGTGCTGGTAGGCAGAGCCAGGCTAGCTGTTTCCCACTGCTTCCAGACTTTATGCTAAACCAAGCTAACTGGCTGCTGGATGTAGCTTCATATTAAACGTATAGATATGTGAGTGGTGTCAGTCTTCTCATTGAACTCTCAGCCAAAAAAAGCCACTCAAACATTTTCCTTAGATTTTTTTTAATGACCATTTTCATTACATGTATAGAATATAAAACATAAGGCCAATGTAAATACAAATGAAATGCCATGTTTCTTTCTGTGTGATCTGGTCTTCATTTCAAATGGAACCCCTCTCTTACTGCTCAAAACTGTTATTTTCTCCATCTCCTACACCAGGCAGGAACACTCTGAAACCCAAATGTTAAGGAAAAGAGTTAAAGATCTAGAGACAGAGTACAAACAACTACAGCTGGAGTATCAAGTGAAAGAGAGTCGGGTGGTAGATCTAGAGAGTGATGTTGAGGTATCTTTTTCCTCTGTTTGGGAATGAACTTGTGAGTGTCTGTGAGTCTCAAGTGGTCCAGTACTCAGTTGTCTTCAGTTTGGTCATGTAGTCATGTAGTAGTTTGGCTGTTTGAGTTGTTTCTGATTATTTTTTTTTATGTGTGTGTGATTCTTTGTGTTTGTAAAATTTATTAGAAAACTGAATAGTTTTGGGAGAAATTAAGTATTTTTTTACTTTTATTTTGGCCTGCAGTCAACATATTTAACTTTGTCATCACATCAGTATTATTGGTTGTTTTTGTCTGACATCAGGTGTGTGCATTGTTGTACTGTGTGATTTAATTTTAGTGGCATACTCTCCATGAAGCATGCTGAAACAAAAGCCAGGTCTTTCAGAAAAAAATAACAAAAAAAACATTGCATAGTTACTGAGTGCAGGTCAATAAAAGAAAATGTTAAAAGTTAATGTTAACACAGAAAGAATCATCCCTCAAAATATCTTTCTAATCATGTGCAGCTTTTGTGTTTTTTTGAATGGCTGGCCAGCTCATTATCATTGTGTGAAAATTGTTCTGTCTGTAGTCATTGGTTCCCTAAGTGAAAGAAACTAAACCCATTTCCAAAATAGTTCAAGTAAGAAATTTGAAAAATTGACTGAAATCTAAAAGCTGCAAAAAATACTTAGGAAACCAAAACACTGACTCCCTTAGGTGGTCACCACAGGAGGTAAAAACTGTCATTTTCAAGTTTCACACTTGTTCTCACTCTTGATGTGTTCTTGGACTCAGGCTTTGGGAAAGTACCGCTGTGTGGAGAAAGAGACGGACATGCTGCTGTCCACTCTGTCAGCCATGCAGGAGAAAGCTCAGCATCTGGAGTACAACCTGAGCGCTGAGACTCGCATCAAACTGGACCTGTTCTCTGCTCTGGGAGACGCCCGCAGACAGCTGGAAATCGCTCAAGGTTCACACACTTTGTCTTAACATAATATTACTTTTGCAACTTAATTTTAAAATCTTGCACATACTTAGTACTTTTGAACACTCTACTTACCTATCTGCCCACCTCTACTTGGCAGTATACTGTGGTCATGTCTGTTTGTCCTGTTTGGAAATCTAAGAATCAGATTGGAATTAAATTTGAAGAACAGGTTCTTTATGGGAATCTAGGGCTAGAAGCACCACCAAGTGGTCTTAAAGCAGTTTCTTAAATTTTGGCTCAACTCCTCAACATTCAAGTGTTTTTTCACCAATTCTACTAAAACAGTTCCCCAGCCAAGGTAATGATGTATTTAGATGAAAAACATAGTTATTAATCTGTTCCAATTCTATTCCAATTATTATTTAGCAGCTTTTATGAATAATTTATTTCTCTTTCTGTTCCTCTGATTCATAGATTTCACCTGTTGATTAACAGTCATGCAGGGGACTTTAACAGTTGAGACAGCGCCTATATATGAGGGTGTTTTTTTACATTTGGGGAAACTTGGAGGCAAAATGGCATAACTCATAAGAATGAGTTTAGATACACAATATTATGAATTGGTGCAAATCAAATACATTTGTCTATCCTACAGATAAAGTGATGAAGCAGGACCGGGAGATAAGTGAGATGAAGCAGAAGATCGCGGAGGTGATGGCCGTCAGCCCCGGTGTTTCCTACATGGCACCTCGGCCTCCGGTGCCACAGTATCTCACCAAGTTACTCAACTCTGAGCGCTACATGCTGAATCCACGAGCACTGATGTACCAGTGTCTGAAGAAATAAAGGATGCCAGATCGTCAGACCTCCTCGTCAGACCCACCCATCCTAAAGCATGAGAGGGAGGGGTTTTATGGATTTCATTACAGAGCTAAATGACACCACAAAGTCATCTACTTCTTGCCATGGGTGGAACCAGAACGAGCCTCCAAAGGTTGAATGCCTTCAGCTGCACTGATGGTGCTAAGTTGACATGGTTCTGTATATTTCATGTTTCCTCCCACAGGGAAGGTTGAAGAGTTTCACTCCAAAATTATTTATCTGATATGCAGAGCTGCTGTAGGCACAAGTTTTATTTGAAGATACACCCGTCCTAACAGTGTAAACCATCTAATTGGGATGCAGGAGAAAAAGCACATCTCTAATAGTTTAAACATTAGAGGTTTTTGGTGCTTTTTACACAAGAGACAAGTGAATAAATGAAGTGTTTCCTAAATAGCTGTAAATGTTTTGTCTGAAAAGCTGGATCCATGTCACAGTTTTCTGGTTATTTAAGTTCAAAATCTGCAAGTAGATAAATCTCACTGCCCTACAGACCCACTAACAAGTCACCTACTGCAGCTTAAAATACCTGAAGACAACTCTGTACAATGTGGTTCCTAGCATGAAAGTAAAATTAACCATTCAATGTTATTCAAATCTTATTCTAAGTATTATTATTCTTATTCTTATTATCATTATTATACAAATTAGTGAGATTTCAAGAAATATAATCACCTTTGTTTTAATTATTATTACAGAATTATCTTGATCTGCAGTGATACTGATAAAATCTTTCAAAATAACATGGTCAAATTTTAGCTGATTCCTGAGTCAAATGATTTTTGGTACTTATTAGAAGAAAATGATCTAATATGCCTTTTTACTTGTCATAATGGGAAGAGGACAGGCATTATTAATAACATGAATGATGGCTCTGTTCTGTTCAAGTGTCCCAGTAAGCTTTGACAGAGTGACAGTGAGCCAGCATGCACGATACCAGGACCCTGAAACTGGAGCAGCTAAATAGAATTCAGTCATTATTAATTACACGTCTGCTTTTCCTACTGTGACATGTCAAAATGTCTTCTCTGGAAAAAAGGCTTATTAATTAAAATGTATGTTCTTAAGTGTTTAAGATTTCAAGCTGCAACAGTTAGATGTGAAAACTGTGGACCATATCTCAGTTCATGTCATACTCTAGTATGATTATAGAGAAATGATATTATAATAATGAATTATGTCCTAGCCCTAGTTAGTTCTGTTTATGGACTTCCATTTAATTTAAAATTTAAAGTACACATTAATTTGATAAAATTGAAATATACTACAGACAAGTCTCTTAAAGCATAAATCAAATTATTATCTGACAACATTAGCATATTCTATTTTTTTTAAGTATGCAACAGGATGTTATTGTCGGTGCCTGTAAATACAGGATTAAAATTATTTGAATTGTGCTGAAATTCAGACAAAAGTCATGGGTTCATTAAAACAACACTTTTTAAATCTAAATTATACCATTTTTTGGAATGAGACCCTTCAGAGCAGGAATATTTCTATTTAAGAGGTGCCATCGTGTTCTGAAATTTCTAGACTACTCTGTGGAAGTTTCCTGTGGACAGTAAATGATGTGAGTGACCTGATGATGTTGAGGAGATGCAGTAAAAGGAGCTCACTGTGAGCGGTGGTTATCTCTGCTTGTTTCCACTGACAGCTAATAACTACATTTTAATGCATGGCAGCTCTCTGCTTCACAGCGGCAAACTCTGAGAAAAGAGAGAGTGTGAAAAAGTGAAGTGACTTTGGTTGGTTGGCCAGAATTCGACTTTGTCCATGACTTAAAGTGGAGTTGTGAATAACAAGGAATGGTGTTGGCCAAACATGGTTCATGAATTTAATTACTGTGCCTATATACATTACTTTCAAACTGGGAAGTAAAACACAAATTTAATGTGAAAGAGTAATGTGTTTGAATTGAAGTGCTATGTACTGTTTTTGTAGTTTATTGTTTCGTTTTTTTTTTTGTTTTTTTTTACTCAATGTACAGAATTGACAATACCCACGTCGCTGAAAAACACTCATTGGATGTCACCATTTTGGTAGCTTTTTATTTAGGGTGTGTTTCTAGGGCGTTTTATATGAAAAATATTTTTTAAGTCTCGCTGTACTTTTATTATACTGCTGTAATTTTGTACGGCAATGTGTTTGTCAGCATGAAATGTGTTTTATTCAACTGTTATTTGAGCACACATTGTGACTTTAAGTATGTACATGAATATACTTGTACAAGGGCTACAGTTTTTTTAAAATTTTGAACAAATTGTTAATTCAGACAGTGATGCTCTGAGGATAGAGATCACGCTCCTGATACACCAGGATGGGTTTTTGTATAAATGATTTAAATAATGAATTTTGTTCGATTTATGTGTCCGTGTGTACATTATTTAAGTTAAAATGTAAGACTAAGTTGCAACTTAATTTTCTAATCCTTATGACATAACTACACTAAGACGTACCTACTGCAAAGGAACTTACAATATGAATCCACAGTGAAATTGACCTTTGGGATATACAATGTCATCACTTCATAATTTTATCATATTAGACATTTGTGTTAAATTGAGTCATAATTAGAAAAGAAAATGAATTCTTGAGTTATGGCCAAAAATTTGTTTTGTGGGGTCATAAAATTGAGTGAAATTAATAAAATTACATTTACTCAAATTTAATGAAATAAAGTCAAATTTACTCAAATAGATAAAATGTAGTCAGTTTACTGAATTAAATTACATTGAGTCAAAATACTTACTTAAAATTAATTTCTTAAAAAATGGTATTTTAAATATTTTAAATAAAATGTATTTACATTAATTAAATTAAACCAAATTACATGAAATTAAATTTTAAATTATTTACTTTATGAATTCATAAACTAATAAAATAGGAATTTACTCAAATTCAAATATATTGAATCAAATTAAATAAATAAAATTGAGTTAAATTTATACAATTAAATTAGGAGGGATAGGTGTTTTTTGTCAATCTTTTGCACAAAAGTGCACATGACAACAAATGCTACGTAAGGTAACCTGGATCACAGCCATCCTCAAAAGCGCTTCAGAGGCACAGTTCAAACACAAGATGACACCAAGCAATGCCATTAAGTGCTGATAGTGTAATTTTTTATTTCAGGAGGTGAAAAAAGGGGGTAAATGCGTAGCAGAAACAGACCAGTGTCCAGCATACAGTGTACAAGATGGTTACAAGCATGCCAGGCAGTTCCACACTTGTATCGCGCAGTATCTACAGACCCTAACAGAAGGTAGTCATAGCATAGAGTAGGCAAGACTTGATCACTGACTTAAGTTTTAATGACGCCATTTCCAATCATCTATCTTCCTCCTGTTGGTGTGAAGAAGCCAGAGGCCACAGGACATTTCCAACAGGATGTAAAAGTGTACAGTAGTGCAAACCAGCAGAGAGATCCTCAAACATTTAACAGATAAGATTGGTCAGAGGCAATAACTGAATTTCTAAGTGGCGAGGGCACATTTTAGCTATGGTGTCACACAATGCCTCAGCCATGAAGGAAAACAAATGCTTCAGAGACGAAATCTAAATGTTGACGGGCTTAAGCTGACAAAACACTATTTGCATGATAGATTATTTGAATCTATCACCATTGATTTAAAAAATAAAAACTGAAACAACTCCAGAAGCAAGCTTGTTGCATGCATCAGTTTCCATTTAGACATAGAAAAGCATACATGCAATCACCAAACCTGTTGACAAACACCCGTCAAATCATGTGCTCAAATGCCAAAGCATCTTCACATTGATCTAAACCAACCTCTACGTTGTAAAGTGCCACCTAAAGACAACTTATTGACCAAGCCCCAATCGGTAAGTGCTGCAATGGGCTACTTGAAAACAGAAGCTAGCAATAGTTGGACCACAGTCGACACCCCTTTTCATAGAAAATAACAGCATGGTTTAAAGAAGAGAGCGAGGAGAAGGAGAGCAAGTAAAAGCATACATTCAAACAACCACCGGCCTTAGTGCTGGAAGTGAAGTACAGTACACACTCAAGAAAAGATACACAAATAAATAGTTAGATTTTTAATATTTTATCGGTAGCTCTTCAGATTGTGTTGCAGCTGCGTGTTTCATGACTATGTTGATATAATTACAGAATTTTGAAGTGACGTTGCATCTGTTGTATTACGAGCTCAATGCATTTGAGAGTCTTCAAAAACTGATACAAGGTAGGAAGATGCCTCACTCACTGCTCAAGAGAAAGTTTAAAAGGACCAGACAACCAGACTTAACCTTACAACACCATAATACATACACTTCAGTATGCCGGGACAAAGATTTTTTTTCATACAGACAACTATCAAACAATTTTACGTAAAAATGTTTAAAATACACTTTTAATACTGACTTAAGGGAAATACTGCTGTTATCCAGTTTTATTTCGCTTACCTCCACTTACAACTGGAAGAAATAAGCCAAAAAGTGGAAACATTTGTATTTTCCTTTAAGTTGCAACTAGGATTTCCTCTTTTGAAAGAGAAGCAGATGGCTGTATTGGGTGGGAGGGAAAAAAAAAAAAAAAAAAGATAGAAAGCCAACAACCACTTAGTGGCAGCTTTTCCCACCAGAAGATACAAGGACAGGCTGCAGGATCTGCAATCAGACCAAGGCTTCCTCCCCTGTCCTCGCAAAGCTTTCCTGCAACTCAGAGGTGAAGCAAAAAGCTAGTCCTGTTGTAGAGGACGAGGAGGGCTGAAAGAAGGCCTGACAAGTCCTCTGCTACGAGGAAACGGTCACCGGATTGAGAGAACCATTCCGGCTGTAGAACTTGGAGAAGGCCTCTTCAAGAACAGATGCAAGTCGTGGCTGATCCCCCTGAAATGGAGACACAGCGGGGTAAAAAAAAATGATCTAGAGTGTTGTGGTTATACTAAAAATAGCATGAGTGTTGAGGTTTTGCGGGAGTCATGGTGATGAACAACGAACCTCACTGATAAATCCCAGCTGAACAAGCTCCACAGCCAGCTCCTGTACGTTCTCATCTGGACCAAAATACAGAACAGTCAGAACACATAGTGGCTAATGAGGTGTTAACATACCTTAATTGTTAAGATGTCACTTATTTGTCAAAACAACATCATGTCAGTGTTACAAACTAAAAAATAAGGGATGCCACGATCACGATTTTTGCCGCCAATAGCAATAATGCCGATCTACCGATCACGCATTTTTAATGAAAATTGCCGATTATGATCGGTGGCCAATCAATCAGGGCATCTCTACAAAAAAATAATGTGCTTTTAAAGGATTTCAGTTTGTCACTTAAATGATTAAATTGTACAAAGTTGGACTTTTGATCATTAGAGGCACTGCCAGGAAAAGTTTTGATAAACAGCTTCCCATATTGTGTATATGATCTACCAGCACCCACACAGAACACACTAAATGTAAACAAAAGTCTGGTTTCAATGAAACCTCCAGAGTGTACATATGACATCGCACTGCCTTGACAACGTTTTCAAACAAAACAGTGACAATGTTCATGTTGGTTACATGTAACAACTGCAAATGTGTGCACACGCCAAGTATGTTATTAAGTGATCTTATAGAAACAGAGATACTCACTTGGTAACAAATCACAGCTCAAGTGCCTGTTCAATTTATCCTCAAGTTTCAACAGCAAGGTCAGCTACAAAGAGAATAAAAGAAGTCATTTATTGCACTATGACTCCCATGATACATCCCTTAAAGTAGAAAGATTACTTTATCGCTCATCAGACAGACTTACATGATGCTTGGCGCCCTCATCAACCGGCTCAATATTACACTGCATCTGAAGGACCTGGGAAACACCAAAAGTACCAGCTTAGTATTTGGCACATGAGCATGCAGAAGCTGACTGGAGAAGGCTTTCAATTAAGTGCTAAATTCAAATCCTAAAATCCAATCAGTGTGCTTAGTTTTAGGAATGTTTTGGTATTTTATTCTACATTTAGAGCACAACTTGTTTTGACGCACACAAGGAGAAACTTGAGGTCACCCACTCAGTGTTCAGCATTCTTCCATTTCCAGAATTTCTAATCTGTAGTTTTCTTCTCCCTTTTATTCTCACCCTCTTTTCTTTGTTTCCAGGATTTAGATAGACTTTCAAATATCTGATCTAGTGGACTTGTATAATTAAGTTTTTGCACCAATTTCATTTTTCACTCAAAAAGGAAAGTGATAAAATTAAATAAATCAAGTGTTTATGATTTGCTGCAATTTAATTTCATTCCTACATCTGTAATTCAGATTCAGTTCTTACCTTCCTGGTCTCGAGCTCTGCAGGTTCAGGAGTGGGGGTTTTGACTGAGGGGGGCACTATGGGTGACTTCACCGCCTCCTGCTGAGGCTGTTGTGGACATGGAATCCCGAATGCAGTCAGGGGATAGATCCCATTCCTGATTCACCAAAGAGAAAAAAAAATGCACAATTTCAACTTGGGACATCGAGTCTATTTCCTTCCAATGTGGCAACTACAAATTATTTCATGTAAAGTTGTAACCTGAACATTGGAGGGTATTTTAACTTTTAAAGAGGTTTTTGTTGAGCCTTAATATATCTCATGTGCATACCATACGACAATTCACATCACTGACTTTGCACACGTTGATCTGTATCAATACAACAGCAATTTCAAACTTTTGTGTTCAATCACTTGTTTCAGTTGCGGGTGAGAAGCTCTCATTTTACTTTTCCCACCTAATTTTGATCTGAAATCTCCAAATCACAAGCCAATCTGTTTCCAAGTGCAGTATGTTCCCATAATTGTTTTCTTACCTTACATCTTCCAGAAACTTGTCCAGTTCAAGGGCAGGGAACTGAGAGAGTCTGAAGCACAAGACAAACTCTTACTAATGCTGAACATTTAGTCAGTCAGGACCAAAGTGTCAGTAAATAAAAAATAAAATAATTTCCGACTGTAACATTATTCTAACTTGCATTAACTGTCATGTAAACTTTTACAACTACAAAAATTTCCTTTACTTCAAAATTTTTTTTCATCAAACAATCGCTGGTGTTTGATATAATAAGATACTGTTTGATATAATAAGATACTCAGACTTACTTCATCTGAACTCCATCCTTGGCCTCAACAATCACCAAGTTAGGATCCATGTTCTTTGTCATTTCCTCTAAAGCATTTTCTGGAATCATATCTACAGGTAAACAAACAACACTTCAATTAGACAAGAACATTCACCCATGATAAGTTTCTTTTTCCATTTTCCAAAACACACTTACAGATAGTTTTTGTGACCGTGTATGCTGGGTTTCTGGGGTTTTGTGCCCTACATGGTATATGAAAGGCGGCCGGTTGGACACATCATCTGAGGCTGATTAATGGAGTTCCAGTCTTAGCTTGTAAATGATGGTCTGTTTATTTGGTGGCCTTGGATATGTTCAATAAGATTTGAAGCTGACTAAAAAAACTAAAAAAGGTCCAGGGTTTGAATAATGGTCTGTATCTGTATCGTCAAACCAAATAGACTAATTGCCAGTGTTCACACCGATAAAACATCATATATACAGTATTGTGTGTTTGTGTATTTTCACTCACGCTGGTGGCTGACGATGCAGTGCGCAGCCAGCAGCTTAAGTAAGGGCACCTCAAACAAGGCCTGGTGAAACAACAGCTCCTTAGCTGTGGGTCGCTTACTGGGATCTACCTCCAGACACTTTTGGATAAATTCCTGAAATAGCGTGGTGGGGGGGGGGGGGGACAAAACAAAAACTAGGTTGTGGATCTCTCTTCCAAACAGCTACACAAGCTTGAAATACTTTGCTGTCCTCCACTCACCCGTTGCAACGGGTCCTCTAGGGACTGAATGGCACTGTTTATGGCTTCTTGGGACACATAAGACGAATCTCCATTACTCTGGATTTCCAACACAGCCATCTGAGGAAGTGATTGGACAAAAGAAAGGTGTAAATTAGAACTGATTCATAGATGCAAACATAAAGTAGCAGCCACTCTCTGTTAGATAACGCATTCTGAAGACATTGGTCATCACTTTACACGTCAACCTAAAATTATTTATCATTCAAAAGGACAAAAAAAAAAGAAGAAAGTATTTCCACACTTCCTTTCTTACAAAACAGAGATAACTGTCATTCTGATTTCTGTTTTTGTAACAGCTGGAAAAAGCTTTAAAAAAAACTGAACTTCCAAGTTAATAACAGCACGAAGCATGTCTAAAGCTGGGATGACTGACACCTAGTTAAGAAAGCAGTCTTAAATTATGTCAGTATGTGATGTGTGATGAGTGATTTCCTCTCACCTCTAAGGCGCACATTCCAAAGGAATAGATATCCACGGCTGTGGTAACATTGGCAACAGCTGAAGGTAGACAAACACTGATCAGTATCACAGAAATACCACTGCACACTGCAGCTGTATCTTGAGACAAATGATACACTTGTACGATCTTACCTCCATATTCTGGAGCAAAAAAGTGAAGGCTTTTCTGCTCTTCCCGACAGGTTTTCACATGGTTGTTAATGGTATCTGGGGCAACTAAAATAGTGGGAAAAAAAGACTTAACAACACTAATACTAGATACTAAGGCTAATATTACCGGTAAAAGGCAACAGCAGTATAGAAAAGAAATAAAATGATTGATGAAGGACATATAACACATATATTGTGTCACCCTGTGGGTTACAGGCTTTTCTTTAGGAATGTACGTGTCTGTTCCCCATACTCCATTGGTTAGGGATTGTTATTTTGTATCATGTGATATGTGATTGTAGGTGGTGCTGTAATTTTTCTGTCTGTATATATATCCTGCTTTTTGTCCACATGGATATGTTTCTAATGAATTTCTTACTGGTCCAAACATAACTCTTTAGTGATCTCTGAGTTCTACCTGAGCCGATCTTGATGAGGCCATTGTGCTGAATGAAGATGGTGTCACAGGTCAGGTTGCCATGGATGATGGGAGGTTCACAGGAGTGCAGGTAACTGGAGACGGAGGGTAATGTGGTTAAAAATGCTTACAAACCACTGACTGTAGAAGCTGGTGGTTTTCAAAATGTTTACCACATTCATATTATCCAAACATAATTTCCTAAACTGCTCTGTAACACAGCTGATTATCTGAATTTGCAGGAAAAACCTTTCTAGGACTATGGATTGTGCAATACCTTATACCAGGATTACTTCATAAAAACTAAGTAGCTTACAAAAATGAACCCTCTTTTTTTTTTTTTTTAGACTAACCTCAGAGCAGACAGAATTTGTGTGCACCAGCGCTTCCAGGCCTGTCAGAAAAGAAATGTGTTACCAGAAGTGAAAGTTCATGTAAAATAGGTTAAAAAGAGAAACAACCTAAACAGGATTAATTAGCTGTTTCTGACTTGTCAGCATCATTTTGAAGGAACTGCATTTAAAAATCTGTTAGTGAGTTACAGCAGAGCTTTCACACCTTCTCATTCATGGTCTTGTGGTTTTTCTTTGTCTTTTTCAAGAACTGCTTGAGACTTCCTGAAGACATGTATTCAGTGATGAAAATGACCTGAGACAAAGAAAAGCAATGAAAGAAGATGAGAACAAAAGGTCTTTATACTCTTCTTTACATGATTGGAAAAAGAAAATGGGATTTTTTTGGATGATTACCTACCCTCACTCTGTTCTCTTTAACATCCGTCCAATATTTGTGGAACTTCACAATGTTCAAGTGCTCCAGCTGGATCAAATTATCAAACACTGCTTTGACTTTTTCCTGCAGGAGGAAAAAAACAGAGGAAATTACTCATTAATATATAATGCCTCACATTTTCAATTATACCATATAACTATTAATACAACTGGTGCAGAGACTAATACGTCCGTCTTTGTGTTGTCAAATTTATCAAACACAGATTCAATGCATTTGGAATTAAGTTGAACCATTAAACACAAGTGAGCTCACTGTGTTTTAACAACCTATTCGTTTTCATTGGCCTGGCCTTCTTTTGGCCAGTATGTTGACTAAGCTGTTGAAGAGATTCTCTAGTAAATGCAATTTCCACAGGTGTAAATGAGTGTCCATTAAAAGTATTTCTGGGTTAAGATCCATACAGACCATCAGCCATTTAATAAATAAGAAAATGTGTATTCAAAAACTGTCAGACAAGGTCAGACAGTCTATGAAAAAATGGTCAGTGAGCAATTCAGGCTACTACAGTTGTTTGATTATGTACCTCACCCAAGAACAGACCGAGTGGTTGCACAGAATTACACTTAGATTCTGAGTTTTTTAGGTTTTTGCCTTTATTTGACATTGGGAAGGGAGAGGTATGACATGCAAGTTCCCCTAGCTGGGAGTCAAACCATGGACATTGCATTAATGCAGTTAACCACTAGGCGAGTGAGGCTCCCCAGTCCCTACATGCCATTTTGTAGTTTTTTTATTTCAAAAGTAGGAAACAGACAGGATCTTCAATTGATACAATTTTACTGCAACCGAGCTGACAGTGAAAAACTCAAAACCACTTCTGAAAGAAGCAAAACCACCGAGTTAAATGCCTGAAATTCCTAAATGTATGCGCAAGCAAGAGCCTCAAATACCACTGGTCTGCTTCCATCCTGCTGTTCAAATTTCTGAAAATTGTTTTTGCAACTACATAGGTACAGTTTGTACTTTGCTACCCTGCTGGCAGCAACAAGTCCAGCCACTTGCCTAAGGAGCTTAAAGTGAAAGGAGAAATGAAAACCTGCAGGCTTTCACATTGTTAGCAAGATCACAGCAAACAAAGCAACCTATCACACAAGAAAACAATGCTAAACACCATGTCGAGATATTTCATTCCTGGTAGATATAAATGGCCTCCTCTTGCTGACATCATCCTCACAATAGTGCTGCAGTGCTTCAAACATATCTGTCTACGTTGGCCTAACTCTGTACCCACCTCTTGTAGTTTGAAATTCTTCCTTTCTGAGAACATGACCTCATTCCACACCACCTCAACTCCTTCCTCAGTGTCCATGGCCAAGTAAGCATTATCGATCCCAGGGACATTGCGCTGATTCACCTTGGGGAAGAAAACAAAATAATGCATCAGCTGTGATACACCTATACCCTAATATAGATAAACCTGACTTCTTCTGCTGACATTATCACCCTACCTCTTCTCTGCGCTTCTGCCAACGTCCACACGGGCTTTCCTCCAAAATCTCTGACTCATCCTCGCTCTCCTCTTCCTCATCCTCTGTGGCAGCAGTGGCTGGAGACTGGGTCACCATGGACACAGGGGGAGACACCGATGACACTCCTTGACCCGTGGGTACAGGTGCCATCGACTCAGGCTTCCCCTCCTGGACGATGTCCGGGGCCTGTTTGTTCTCTCCCTCAGACATCCTCTCAGTTGTCAGGCCCAGCAGCCTGCTGCATGATTCAGAAAAACCCAAACACAGCATCATTATCACAGACCACACACGCTGACTTGTTAACTGTTGATAAATACAAAACTGGGCAATTAGATCACATTTTAAAACTAGCTTGACAACAAAGATATGCACTTGGTAGCTGTAGCTGGCTAACACCGGTGCAGGAGAGGAGTAACTTTGCAAAAGAAGTTAGCTGAATTAGCACTCTACAGGAGAGGCCATTATAAACCGCAACACAAATATGAGGAAAAAGTAGCACATATTGATGGACATACGTGTTAAAGACAGGAAATGTGACGATGCCAGCTCCAGTTTAACAGACTTCCACCGTGGCAGCCCGATCTCAGCTGGTTATTTATCTCCGCTGGCTGTAAATCTTCTCGGTTTCTCAGCGGAGTCGCAGCTAGCTCTGTAGCTCCTTGGCTACGGTACGTTACTAACTTCACAACACGGGACAACGGCGGAAACCACCGGCGACCATTTAACTAACGATGACGACTCACAATGAACCGTGGTTTTATTCACTTTAAATGTCTCCTGAGGTTTACCTGCTGGCCAGCTAACCAACTAGCTGGTTCGCTGTTAGGTAGCGACAGTTTTAGCAGCCCACCGCCCCTTGCTGCTTCTCAAGACTCCAGCTCCGTTAATGTGAGTAAACTCCACAAAACAGCAACATCCTAAACACGTTTACTGATGAATAACATAACTCCAGCTCACAGAAACTCGACTGGAGACACAAAGAGAGCTTAATGATGCCAATCACTTTATATCCGCGGACACAACGGCTGACTGACTTGGGAGCTAGGTTAACATGTAGCCACATATGATGGCGACAACTTACAGATGCACACTGCTCTCGGCAGAGTCAAAAATGGTTGCCAGATACGGTTTACCCGATCCCCCTTCTGCAGTGTTCAACAACAACATTTCTGGTTCAAAAACCACTACAGGAACTTCACTTCCTCTTTGTGATGTGACTGGCGTGTATAGGTATATTATGAGCACAGAAAGACATAAACTATTTTCACCACATTTCAGCATAGCATATACAAGTGCATAGTTATGATATTTAAACATAAAATATGTAGTTTGACCAGTTGCCTGCTGGTAGTTTTTTCCAACTACTGTTTCCAAGTTAAGAATAAGTTTTAGATCTCAGCTTAATTATTTTGTGTATATTGTGTGCTTTTAGTCTGACCTCAGGGTCAAGTATTCTAGCACGGGGGTACTGATTGATTTTCTGGATCCGCCGTCATAATGATTGGCATGTAATGTATAGTTTGCTGTATGCACTGTACCTAACGGCAACTTGAATGCAGCAGGAGTACTTACACATGGCACTATGTGTGGGGTCAGTAAGAGTACAACAGCAAATGTTTGCCCTGGGGCCCACTAACATGTTAATGCAGCCATAATTGCATGATGTAAGCACACATTTTAATTTAATGGGGAAAACATAATAATATTTAAAGAAAGAGAGAGAGAGAGAGAGAGAGAGAGAGAATTACCATTAATATTTTTAATTCTAACATTCCTCACTTTACATCCATTTTTTTCTTTTTCTGGCTAAAATGGGCTCCCATGTGGTTATTGTCAACAACAAGCAAATGAGAGTAATTTACCATGTAACACAAAAGACAGTCTAACAACACCATCTTCATCATCCCATGAAGAATAAGAAGGCAGGTTTCCCTCAAACCTGGCAACTCTTTGCTCAGCCCCCTCCTTTTTCTTATTTGATATAGTCATAGATTGACAGAGGGCTCGGCCAACTGAATACTGAATTATGATGATTGGTCGGTTTTGTCATCTTCGCCAAACCATAGAAAAGGAAGTAAATGTGAGGTCGTTTGTTTGACCACTAGGTGTCAATGTAACTGATGTTATCGACATTAAATCCAAGGCTGTAGGCATGATTTTAGAGATACTGAGGTAATGACATCAAATTACTGCAGCAGAACCTTACCCAACCAAGAAAACCACCAAGTAAACTCGTTTTAAAAACCACAATATTGTTTCAAAGCCCTCTCTTCACTGTCATGTGTGTAATTCAGATGGAGGATACTAAATCTTCAATTTTTCTATTTATCCATTTATTTATTTATTGCCTCAAAACAGCCAATGTTTTTGTAAAAACATGACATGAAAACAAAACCTTCGCATAATCATAGAATTTAAACTTCTCTTTATGTCAAACATTTTTAGACATATTAATGGCAAAATTATCTGTTCTCAGTGGTAAATAGGCTATTTGGTTGGTGCCATTAAAAAACTACTGTTAAACTGATATAATAAGTAACTGTCAGATTTGCAGCTAATGCTAGTGATAACTAGAAGCTTTATTTTCTATGGCTTTTGTACAGTAATCCATATCTAGTTAATGACCATACTAACCACCTCTAGTCTCCTAGACATACATAGTAGCGCCATGATTTGTCACTCACACTCACTATTGCATTTATGGTATAGATTCTGGACGGTCCCACTGAATAGCACACTGCCACCTGAAACTGTTGGGACATGATCAGGGTCTCTGTCCAAGAAGCCTCCTCCCCTCGTTTAAAGAGGCCTATATTTAGGTCCGGGGACTAAACAGTGACTGTGTGAACGCTGGTGTGAGAGGGTGCTGGTTGGGGACAGTCCATAAAGCAGTGACGATATTTTAAAAGGAAGTAAAAGTGATCACAGCAGTCAGGGAGGACACAGGAAGTTTCTTTGGGCTGTTTTGCAAGTTCACCCTCTGTTTCTGCAAAAAAGGAAGGACTCCACTTTATAAGCTGCCAGCTGAAACAGGAATGTCAAAGGCTACGGTTGACACTGATAAGATGGGGGACAATAAAGGGAAAGTGCCTGTTGTGGAGGAGATAAAGGTGAAAGTGCTTTGTGAAACTGAAGCATCACTTGGGCCTGATGACAAAGCTGATTATCCTCCTGCTGGGACAAACTCAATCTACTCTGCTATTCTGAGCAGAAATGAGGCTGTCAAAGATGCCAAGCGTCTTAAGACTTTTTTGGAGCTACGAGACAAATACGTAAAGAAGAATATTTTGTTTGAGGACCCTCTGTTTCCGGCAGATGACTCCTCACTCTTCTACAGCCACAAACCTTCAATGAAGTTTGAGTGGAAACGTCCCTCTGTGAGTGCCCGTCTTTTGTCATATCCTCTAGGCCCAAGTTGCACTTAATGTGAAAGTGGTTCTGAGAAGCTCTTCTGCAAAATCTCTGTGTATCTCATCACTTCCTCTGCAGCACATGTGTGGGGTGTCGGGTTGGTATGGCTGAATGGCATAGCTCTGGGTTATCACCTTCTACAGTCACAGACAGCTGACTCTCACTCAGGAGGACGCTCTCTGCCACTGCTGGGAAACAAAGTGGCAACTCAGTGTTGGCTTCAGGGTTTCGTGTTTTTTTTATGACTTGCAGCAGAGTTTGGTTGTCTGCCAACGCTCCACCCTTGACAGCAAATGGTTCTGATAGCAGGACATTTGGCAACAAACAACACATTCGTTTGTCATAAAGAGAAGTATGCCCCTGTCTTACCTGCCAACACACTTATATAAATGCACACACTAATAGACAGAAATGCAAACACACATATGTATTAATGCCACAAAGTAAAAATACTCTGTTACAGTTAAAACCTCTGCATTCATAATCTCAACAGTGAATGCATTTAAAGTATCAAAAGTAAGAGTAATCATAATGCATAATAACCCCTTTCACAATGTCATATATTATGCTATATTATGTGTATGTTTGGATTAATATTATTGATGCATTACTGTAAGTAGCACTGTTTTCACTAATGTTTTAGTTAAGGAAGAGCTATTTAATTACTTTATATACTAGTTGGTGGTTTAAGTTGTAATAAATCATCATATTTTCAAAAATATTTTGCACATATTTTAGCAAAATTTGGATCTGCAATGTAACAAGTAACTGCAGATGTCAGTTAACTGTAGTGGAGGATAGCATAGTAAATGGTATTCGCTTTCTTTCTGAGAGTTTGATGAAAGGACTGTCACATCTGTCTTATAAATATAAACTCATGCTAGCAAATGGTTAGCATGAGGAAACAGGAGGAAACAGCTCACCTACAGATTAAACAAACAATATAACCTGTTAATTAGTTTGTTGTTAGGACAGAGCCAGGCTAGCTCATTCCCCCTGTTTCCAGTCTTTATGCGAAGCTAAGCTAACTGTCTCTTGGCTGTAGCTTCACATTTCGTGTAACAAACATGCGAATTGCATCAATTTGAGTAATACTATTAAACACAAATGGCAAAGAAATTATTTTAAGTTTGGTTTTCTGTTGCAAAACTGAGGCGTGATTTCTATACAATGTCAGATGATAAGTGCAGCTTTAGACACTCAGCAGAGATTAGTGATACATGAATCCCATCGAGGTGTCAGCAGTGGTGCCCGCTCTAAATTTGGAACATGAGGCTGCAGTTTTACAGCTTATGGTTAGTCGTATGATGGCAGGATTTGTGTCACTGCTGTGAATCCCCTAAATAAACTGAGACCTGGTTTCCGATATCATTATTCGATCCTGTTTTCTAACCCCTGAAAACTGTAGATTTGGGTTATTAAGGATTTTCTTGCAACATTTCAGGAGTTAGAAAATGTTGTTTTGATTTTCCCTTGATAATTGTTTGTCAAAATGGGTTTCAAGAGATTTTAAAAAACATTTGACTTTTGGCCTGAGTGTTTTCTTCTTCTCTGATTGTGTTTTGAAGGATTTGAAAAGGCTTTAAGTATCCAATATTTTACAACAAATCAGGGGAGCCAAGTTGGGAACCACTTTTACAGGAGCTCATGTAATCCTTCAACATGAAATCCTTTTCATGACAACAAGCAATATGTGCTCCAAAACAATGTTCCACCACATGAGCATTAACTTATCCATGATGACAGACCGCTGGATAATACGTCGGTAAGTTCCAGGTTCCTTTAGGATCACAGAAGCTGTCGGTCATGTTGCCATGACACAGATACGTAGTTATGAGGTGAGGGCTTCTCCTCGTTCAGCACAGCATTATCACTTGTCCAGAGGACTAAAGGGTCGTGACCAGCCGGCCTCTAACAGCTGCCTCCTCTTAAATATGCAGCGAATGCAGAGGGGTTGCAAGTTCACCCCAGCCTGGGAAAATTCTCCAACTTGCTTTCAGTTTCAAGGTTAAGTCCTCATATTGTCAATCATGTCAAGTGTATATTTGTGTACACAGATTTTAAAGTTCAAACGTTAACCAGTACGAACAGTACTGTTTGTGATGCATTATGTTTTCAAATGTTATCTAAACACAAACAGATGTACAAGAAGTTTGCCTAAATAAAACTAAAATGTAAGAATCCACCTAATGAGGTTTGATACCCAGTCCTAGTGAATTCATTATTAATCAGTCTAATAGTAATTATTATTATTATTATCCACTGAAGGGAGAAGGGCAGTTAATTAAACAGTGTTTCATACAGATGTTGTCAAGCATGAACCTGATCAGCCTTTTGACCCATTAGTAGTGCACTAAAGAACAGTACATGGCGTCTCGCAGGACATCCTCATGGGATCTAAACATATTGTTAAAGCAGGGTATTTTTTTCTTGATATAGACACTGGATCAAAAATGTTTAAAATCAAAACTTAGCTAATACAGTTATCATTTCATCTTGCATAGTTTTCCATGATGAGAAAAAAAGATTTGAACTCGGGCACATATAGTATATTTTGCAACATGCTCAAAAATACCTCCTAACACGCCTTTTTTTTTTTTTATGACAGGAAATTTGTGAAAACCCCAAGTTCATCATAGATGGAGCCAACAGGACAGACATCTGTCAAGGAGAATTGGGTAATATTTAAACCGTTTCTACTAATAAGTGGTTTAAAAGCTTTCAAACACACCATGCAGCCAGGGAATATGAAACAGACTAAAAGTGGCGAAGAAGATGTGATATTTTGGGTTTGATATACAAAATAACTTTCTTTCCCACTCTACATTCCCAGAATTTCCCTTATTGTGTGAATATACAGTAGTATTACCTTGTTTTTGTTACCTAAGTCTGCATGTTCAGAATACTAGAAGAGAAAATAAGTAGATCATAATAGAATAAAAAGGAGGGTTCCCGTGCATAAGAACACAAAGGAAACAACAAATTGAAGGGCTCCTGAAGGCTTATTGATGTTATAATAAAAAGTTGTCCAGATAAAGTTCTCAGTTGTGGAAAGAAATCTAATGTGCTTCCATCAAAGATTATTTTTTACAAGTAGAAACAGCCTTGATGAGGAGAAATGTAAAAGAAGAAAACATAAATCAGAACACAGGCTGAAAGAAAGGCATGGTGTCAACTCCAGAATACACTTAACAGCTAGAATGACCACAAGCATGAGCCTTTAGTTACCTTACTGACACCTGCAGTAATGTGGCTTTAATACGCGACAACTGTGTTACTTCATGAAGCGGTATATACTATATATATAATATCAAGTGCCTTCATAGCTCATGAATCTGCTCCTGACAGGTGACTGCTGGCTGCTGGCTGCCATCGCCTGTCTGACGCTGAATGAGAAGTTGCTTTACAGAGTGATTCCCCCGGATCAGAGCTTCACTGAGAACTACGCTGGCATCTTCCATTTCCAGGTTTTGAAATTAACTGCTGACATATTGTGCAATAAGCAACTGAACTGTCATGCACGTCAGAATCATATTGCTCTTTAGATGAAGTGACTCTTGAATACCCAACACATTTGATTTGAGGATACAAAAAGGAGAAAAGTTCAATAAATTCAAGTTTTTACATATGGACTTTTACATTTCACTCCCATATGCCTATATGTTAATGTATCACAGGTGAAATTTGTTTCACGTGTGACATTGTTTTCACTTGTGATGTCTTACCAAATGTGAAATGTCTAAAAATCACATGATTAACACATGTAATTGGTATATTGGTGTTATGCTATATTGGCTATGTTAAGTAAGACAATATTACAGTACAGAAGAAAAAAAAATGTAATGTAGTTTAGGAACAGTGTCTCCATTACACTGAGATCACTGTTATGTTACTTATCTTACTTATTTTTCATCTGTTGTCATGTTTCCTACATATAATCTTTATTGTTTAATATCAGAGTTTAAGGGATCCTTTCCAGAAATATTTATTTAAGTGTATATACAGTGGGATTTCTATGGATATATTGTTGATCAAAATCAAAGATCAAAATCAATGGAAATGGCCTCAAAAAATGTATATCACATATATATTATATTGATTTTACTTATGAGGTTATATTAACTTTTCAAAGGAGGAAAAAAAACAAGAAATTGATTTAAATTTTTTTTTTTAACCAAGACCGTAATAAACACTTATGAGGACAGGACCGTTTAATTGCCTGAGGTTTTTTTCCTCCACTGTCTCATTACTGATTCTCCATGTTCACTCTGTTCTCTTTTCCTATGTTAAGTTCTGGCGTTACGGCGAATGGATCGATGTGGTTGTGGACGACCGCATCCCCACCTGCAAAAACCAGCTGGTGTTCACCAAATCTTTCAGACAGAACGAGTTCTGGAGCGCTCTTCTGGAAAAAGCGTATGCAAAGTAAGCAGAGCCTACTATTGTCCGCTGCATTAGTGGAGGCGTGGCAGCTCGCCACAATCCTCGCCCCCCGTGTGTTGCTGTGAATTCATTGCGTCTGGTTCAGATTTCTCCCCATCCAATGCAAAAAAGTTTGCCCGCGTGCCTGGGCCTGAGCCGTCAGTTCAAGCTTTTGTGCTAAAAAAAAAAAAAAAAAAAAAAAAAAAAATTAAACAATGGAAAAAAAACCAAGAGAGAGATATGAGGAAACAGGAGGAAACAGCTCACACTGCGCCGTCGACGAGATATCGTTCGTTAATGCCGCTACAGATTAAACAAACAATATAAACCTGTTAATTAGTTTGTTGTTAGACAGACCAGGCATAGGCCAGGCTGCTCATTCCCCCTGTTACCAGTCTTTATGCGAAGCTAAGCTAAACTGGTCTCTTGGCTGTAGCTTCAATTTCGTGTAAACAAACATGCGAATTGCATCAATTTGAGTTAATACTATTAAACAAATAAATGGCAAAGAAATTATTTTAAGTTTGGTTTCTGTTGCAAAAACTGAGGCGTGATTTCTATACAAATGTCAGATGATAAGTGCAGCTTTAGACACTCAGCAGAGAATTAGTGATACCATGAATCCCATCGACGGTGTCAGCAGTGGTGCCCGCTCTAAATTTGGAACATGAGGCTGCCAGTTTTACAGCTTTATGGTTAGTCGTATGATGGCAGGATTTGTGTCACTGCTGTGAATCCCTAAATAAACTGAGACCCTGGTTTCCGATATCATTATTCGATCCTGTTTTCTAACCCCTGAAAACTGTAGATTGGGTTCTTAGGATTTTCTTGCAACATTTCAGGAGTTAGAAAATGTTGTTTGTTATTTTCCCTTGATAATTGTTTGTCAAAATGGGTTTCAAGAGATTTTTAAAAAAACATTTGACTTTTGGCCTGATGTTTTTTCTTCTTCTCTGATTGTGTTTTGAAGATTTGAAAAGGCTTTAAGTATCCAATATTTACAACAAATCAGGGGAGCCAAGTTGGGAACCACTTTTACAGGACTCCATGTATAATCCTTCAACACATGAAATCCTTTTCAGACAACAAGCAACTATGTGCCTCCAAAACAATGTTCCACCCACATGAGCATATAACTTATGCCATGAATGACAGACCGCTGGATAATACGTCGGTAAGTTCCAGGTTCCTTTAGGATCACAGAAGAAGCTGTCGGTCATGTTGCCATGACACAGATACGTAGTTATAGGTGAGGGCTTCTCCTCGTTCAGCACAGCATTATCACTTGTCCAGAGGACTAAAGGGTCGTGACCAGCCGGCCTCGTAACAGCTGCCTCCTCTTAAATATGCAGCGAATGCCAGAGGGGTTGCAAGTTCACCCCAGCCTGGGAAAACTTCTCCAACTTGCTTTCAGTTTCAGGTTAAGTCCTCATATTGTCAATACATTCGCAAGTGTATATTGTGTACCACGAGATTTTAAAGTTCAAACGTTTAACCAGTACGAACAGTAACTGTTTGTGAATGCATTATGTTTTCAAATGTTATCTAAACACAACAAGATGTACAAGAAGTTTGCCCTAAATAAAACTAAAATGTAAGAATCCACCTAATGAGGTTTGATACCCAGTCCTAGTGAATTCATGTATTAATCAGTCTAATAGTAATTAATTATTATTATTATCCACTGAAGGGAGAAAGGGCAGTTAATTAAACAGTGTTCATACAGATGTTGTCAAGCATGAACCTGAATCAGCCTTTTGACCCATTAGTAGTGCACTAAAGACAGTACATGGCGTCTCGCAGGACAATCCTCATGGGATCTAAACATATTGTTAAAGCAGGGTATTTTTTTTTCTTGATATAGACACTGGATCAAAAATGTTTAAAATCAAAAATTAGCTAATACAGTTATCATTTCATCTTGCATAGTTTTCCATGATGAGAAAAAAAGATTTGAACTCGGGCACATATAGTATATATTTTGCAACATGCCCAAAAATACCTCCTAAGACACGTCACGCTTTTTTTTTTATGACAGGAAATTTGTGGAAAACCCCAAGTTCATCATAGATGGAGCCAACAGGAACAGACATCTGTCAAGGAGAATTGGGTAATATTTAAACCGTTTTCTTACTAATAAGTGGTTTAAAAGCTTTCAAACACACCATGCAGCCAGGAATATGAAACAGACTAAAAGTGCGAAGAAGATGTGATATTTTTGGGTTTGATGATAACAAAATAACTTTCCTTTCCCCCTCTACACATTCCCAGAATTTCCCTTATTGTGTGAATATACAGTAGTATTACCTTGTTTTTGTTACCTAAGTCTGCATGTTCAGAATACTCGAGAGAAAATAAGTAGATCATAATAGAATAAAAAGGAGGTTCCCTGTGGCATAAGAACACAGAAGGAAACAGCAAATTGAAGGGGCTTTCCTGAAAGGCTTATTGATAGTTATAATAAAAAAGTTGTCCAGAATAAAGTTCTCAGTGTGGAAAGAAAATCTAATGTGCTTCCATCAAAGATTATTTTTTACAAGTAGATAACAGCCTTGATGAGGAGAAATGTAAAAGAAAAAACATAAATCAGAACACAGGCTGAAAGAAAGCATGGTGTCAATCCAGAATACACTTAACAGCTAGAATGACCACAAGCATGAGGCCTTTAGTTACCTTACTGACACTGCAGTAATGTGCTTTAATACAGCGAACAACTGTGTTACTTTCATGAAGCGGTATATACTATATATATAATATCAAGTGCCTTCATAGCTCATGAATCTGCTCCTGACAGGTGACTGCTGGCTGCTGGCTGCCATCGCCTGTCGTGAGCTGAATGAGAAGTTGCTTTACAGAGTGATTCCCCCGGATCATAGTGCTCACTGAGAACTACGGCTGGCATCTTCCATTTCCCGGTTTTGAAATTAACTGCTGACATATTTGTGCAATAAGCAACTGAACTGTCATGCACGTCAGAATCATAATATTGCCTCTTTTAGATGAAGTGACTCTTTGAATACCCAACACATTTGATTTTGAGGAGTACAAAAACGGAGAAATAGTTATTCAATAGAATTCAAGTTTTTACATATGGACTTTTACATTTCATCCCATATGCCTATATGTTAATGTATCACAGGTGAAATTTGTTTCACGTGTGACATTGTTTTCACTTGTGATGTCTTACCAAATGTGAATGTCTAAAAATCACATGATTAACACATGTAATTGTATAATTGGTTGTTATGCTATATTGGCTATGTTAAGTAAGACAATATTACAGTACAGAAGAAAAAAAAAAAATGTAATGTAGTTTAGGAACAGTGGTCTCCATTACACTGAGATCACTGTTTGTTACTTATCTTACTTATTTTTCATCTGTTGTCATGTTTCCTACAATATATATCTTTATTGTTTAATATCAGAGTTTAAGGGATCCTTTCCAGAAATATTTATTTAAGTGTAATACAGCTGGATTTCTATGTGATATATTGTTGATCAAAATCAAAGATCAAAATCAATGGAAATGGCCTCAAAAAATTATATCAACATATATATTATATTGATTTTACTTATGAGGTTATATTAACTTATTCAAAGGAGGAAAAAAAACAAGAAATTGATTTAAATTTTTTTTTTTAACCAAACCAGAACGTAATAGACAACTTATGAGGACAGGACCCTTTAATATCTAGGTGCCTGAGTTTTTTTTCCTCCACCTGTCTCATTACTGATTTCTCCATGTTACTTCTGTTCTCTTTTTCCTATGTTCAGTTCTGGGTTACGGCGAATGGATCGATGTGGTTTGTGGACGACCGCATCCCCACCTGCAAAAACAGCT